TGTGTCTGGCAGGAGCCAAAGCTGTGATCACACACCCCCCCCACCTTGGGACTTGGACAGCCTGGAGAGATGGGGTTTGAAACCACATGTTTGACTTCTCCAGCACGTGGAAGGCACCTGTCCCACTTGTAGTATTTGGCTCAACTTCCCTTTGCAAGGTGCCAGTGGTGGTCTCAGCCTCATGCTGTGACAGCCCTTTTGTTCACAGCCCACCCCATGTGCTGCCTGCAAGGCAGAGGGGTCCACCTTTGGTGCCTCTGCTCACCATGTGCAGCTCCTGGAGCTCAGCTGGTCTCTACCGCCCTGTTCAGTGTGAAGGTCAGACAGGCCACTGAGAGACTCCATCCCAAGACTGTCCCTTTTGATCTGAGCCATGAAGGTGAAGCTTTGTGTGCTGCTAAAAGAGAGGGAGATCCCTCCAGGGCTGTTGTCCTGGGACCTGGTTGGCACAGGCCATGCTCTCAGTGTGCTTGGAGCATCTCCTGCAGTGGTAGCTGTCGGCAGGCAGCTGTCAAATAGCTGTCGGAGGGGAATTCATTGCTGTGAATGTGCTGGTGCCTGGCACCCTCAGTGTGAGGGGAGGGCTGGGGTCTCCTCCCTGGGGGCAGGTTGTTTTTGAGCAGTGGCCTCGTTAGATGTGAACATCACATCTTGGGCGTTTTTCATGCCCAAGTGACCATGACTGCAGCTGTTACCTGTAGCCTAGAAGACCTGCAGCGTTGTCCCACATCGGACGTTCCCAATTGCTGTGAACCTCCCTTAGGTGTCAGCTGAGGGAGACTTGGGGTAGTCCCAACGCTGTAATGTTTAATTTCCTTGGTAAGTGGATTCAGTGTTTTGGGTTTGCAGCACAGTGGCCACATGAAAGTGGGAGCACAGTGGTGTGCAGGCTCCTGCTGGCTGTGGGGCTGGGTCAGGGTCAGACTCGGGCTTATCTAAATGCTCAGGGGTCTTGCCCCACAAGCAGGGAAGAGCAGAGCCTTTTTTAGGAAATGGCAGGAAACCTGCTGCTGCTTTCAAATGCTTCTTACACCTTCAGCCTTCCTCAAAACTTATTTCTTGCTTTCAGATGTTTTCAATGCGCGAAGCGCTGCTTTTGTGCCCCTCTTCCAAGAAATCCTAAATCAAATGTCTGCCTAATCAGCTCTAAAGCTGGTGAACAAAACCCTTGATGCTGAAAGCAGAAGTTCCTGGACTGATTCTGGAGAGAGGTGTGAGGGAGGCTGCTGGTTGCAACATCCCTGCTGCCAGGTCTTGTCCTCATCTGTGATGCTGTGGTGTTGGGCAGCAGAGGAAAGGTGATGCTGGTTTCCTGTGCCATCACTGCCGTGCACAGAACCACAGACTGGGTTGGCTTGAAGGGACCTTAAAGCTCATCCAGTTCCAGCCCCTTGCCATGGGCTGAAGCCACAAGCAGTTACTGATGGGAGCTTCATCTTTGTTTTTGTCACTTCGTTTGAGGTTTAGTTATTTGTGATGACAAGCGAACTTGCTTAGACCCCTGTCACCAGCATGTCCCAGCAAAGGGAGTAGTTTGTGTCCAGTACCAGCTGTGACAGTCTCTGAACGCTCCTGTTCCCAGTTGGCACTGTGAACAAAGACTGGGTTCCTGCTTCCCAGCCTTGTGTTGCAGGGCTCTGTGCAACAGCACAAGGACCATGTGCGTGGTCGCCATGTGTAAGAACCGTGTGTGTGGAAACCGAGCCCATTTGTGTGGGGAAAGGCCTTAACCAGCCTTAGGACACCCCTGAAGAGGAGTAGTCATAGCATGGATGGGCGTGTTGACTTGAGAGGAGCAGGACATCCCAAAGTACCTGCACTGTGTGGCATGTTCCTGTCTTGGAGGCTCTGGGGACCTGGCAGAGGTGCACAAAGCAGCTCATGCTTCTTGTCACAAGGGATTCATGTTCCCTCAAAACCGCGGCGCTGGAGACCCATTCTCAGGGTTTCTCCACCGTTCTGTGAGTCCACCTTTTATCTTGTAGCCAGGGTATGATGCCAAAGGAGCTGTGTGCTGGACATGGCAGTGCTGGGGCTGGAGAGTGCCAAAGCCCTGGCAGTGCTCCAGGAGCCCGGTGCCACTTCAGCTGTCTTTCCTCTGCTCTCCTGTTAGTTTTCATTCCTCTTCATATGCATGAGCATATTTCCTGCTGCCTCAGCTTTGTCTGTGCTTGTGGTCACTGTTGCCATGTCCGGAGGGGACTAGTGGGCTATGTTTCAAAGATCAACCTGCTTGAGTGAGTCCAGAGGAGACCACGGAGCTGCTGCGAGGGCTGGAGCAGCTCTGCTGCTGAAAGAGCTGCGCTGGGTCAGCCTGGAGGAGAGAAGGCTCCTGTAGGGGAGACCTTAGAGCAGCTCCTGCCTAAAGGGGCTCCAGGAAACCTGGAGAGAGGCTTTGGACAAGGGCCTGTAGAGAAAGGACAAGGCGAATGGCTTTAACCTGCCAGAGGAGAGACTGAGATGAGCTCTTAGGCAGAAGCTCTTCCCTGGGAGGGTGCTGAGGTGCTGGCACAGGGTGCCCAGAGAAGCTGTGGCTGCCCCATCCCTGGCAGTGTTCAAGGCCAGGTTGGACAGAGGGGCTTGGAGCAACCTGCT